TCAAGAAAAAGTGTCTCTGTAGGCTTCACTGTGCGTATAATGTCCTTTAACAGATAGCTTGATGTCATAGAACAAGCTCATGTGCTTCAGGATGAAACAGAGGCAAGTTTGTTTTCACACACTGGCTGTGTGACTTTCAGCAAGATACTAAATCTCATACTTTGTCTGTAACATTCCAATAACAGCTCTTATTTTCTAGATTGTCATACACAGAGCAACTAATATTCTACATGTTCAGTAGAAAAAAGTACTATTCATTTATTTTCTATGGAACATCAGGAATAGTAGGTTAGAGGTATCTCTTTAGCATTCGTTCATTATATTATTTCCTTGTTCATTCTATAAAGTTTTAAGTGTCAGAGAGTGCTAATGACAGAGGGTCAAATCAGGAGTAGTTTACTAGTTCTTAAATTGCCAATGTTAAACTGTCTGATTTTGGATCAATAACAGTGAAGTATCAGCATGACAAGCTGTAGAGAGGAAGACACGTAAAGTGAGCCATACAGAGGAGGTGCAACTAGAGTTGGCCAGTTGTTCCCATTGGGATCACTGTGGCTCCACTCATCATTGTTTCCTCTAGAAAAGTGTCCTCATTGATGGGAATGGCATTCTGACCAGGCACACAAGATTTGAAGGGACATTTAAGACTTTCTTATTTTAAAAAATGATATTTTTAAAGAGAAAATTTTATTTTCAGCTCTAAATAAATTTTTTTGAAAGGTCTTTTACATGCTAAGTGTCTTTTCCATGCATTTCATTCCCCAAACCTCCTGTGAGAGTGACAGGGAGTATTGAACTTTCATAAGTGACAAACCAGGAAAGACATCTGGCACAAGTATGGTGCTTTGAAACTGTTTACTGATAAGCAAATAAATGAATGAATAAGTAAATGAATGATCTTTACCCTTTCACTATTTACTTTGTCTTTTTCTCAACTGTAAATTATGTACTCTTCAGTAATATAAAATAAATTGACTGTGGGAGTTCAAGATATGATACATTTTATATTTTACATAGTTTCACCTGTCTTTTACGTAGTTATGACATAAATAGTTCACTCATATGTCTGCTGTTTGTGTTTTTCATTTACTGCTAGATATTTGTTTATTTTGTTTCAAATTTTATTAATGATCTTCAACTCAGTTTTCATCTGTTGGATGAAATGGACATACAGTACAGTGTTGTAAAACTAATGTTGGTTCTAAAAGTCAATACATTGCCTACAATTTAAGCTATTTAAAAAAATTATGTTAGTAATTATAACCCAGTTATATGATAAATAAAAGGATAAAAATTAAGTAATTAAAAAGAAATTACTGGCAGTGAATCCTACTGACAATGTCTAGAAAATTAAATGTATTTTATCAAGGCAGTGAGATGCATATGATGGAAAAAGAATATTCTTAAAAGGTCAATGAATCTGTGTGGTAACTCAGTACTGACATTAAATTAATTGTTTCTTGTTACAAATAGCAGAGAACAATTATGAGTTTTAAGCAGAAAAGGAATCCTTTGGAAGGGAATGGTCAGTTTAGAAAATTGAAAGAAAGTCTAGGAAATTGGTGGCATCACTGGAGTTAGAAAAAGGAATCTAAGACATCTACCTGGAACAATCTTGTCTTTGAAATCGTGGCTAGGATGTGGATACTGAACCCCATCTGGCTCACTGATATATTAGCAGTGGGCACCACACATGGTGCTTTGCTGTGGCTGAGATTGAATTCAGAATCTGAACAGTCCTTACACATTTGTATTATTTATTCTAGGTTCAGAGTCTCAGATGATGTAATGCAGTTGTTTAGTTGAGGCCACATGTTTCTGCTCTGATGTTTGGAGCCAGAGAGAGCAATTAACTAAAATTTTCAGGTTTGCTGTGGGGAAGGAAGACCCTAGCTTTAACAAAAACATAAGGAAAGGCAGAGTCTTCCCACATTGGAAGAGAATATGATTTAACAATATTACTAATGAGCATTCCAACCATTAAAAAGCTGGGTGATCTAAGAAGGGAAGTGTTATGGCTTGTGTCTAGAAGTCCACTCAAAGCCTAATGCAGTCATAGGTGGGGCTTTTTCAGAGGTGGCTGCATTTAGAGTGGGTGATGCTAGGATTGATTCATGGTTCAATGCAAGGATCAAGGACAGTTGGGATTAAGGGTGTGAGTGCTACCCACCCTAAATAGCCTGGATAAAATACCAGGGTTAGAAAGAGCTGGGGTCGCCCCTTGCTTGCCTTGCTACCTTCTGCCCACCATGATCTGTTTTTTTCTGGGATGCCTGTTTGCTGTGCCACCCTGCCTTGGAGTCAGCCAATTATGGACTGAAACCTATACAAACTATGAGCCAAATAAACCTTTCCTCCTTTAACTTTGGATGTCGGGTACTTTGTCTCAGCAACAAGAAAAGCAACTACTACAGGAAGGTATTCAATTTCTGTAGATATTTTTCATGCAAAAAAAAAAAAGACTGAGAAATGGACAACATCTATCTAAAATAGCAGAAGTTTTAAGTTTAATTGGAAAGATAATGAAAACACTATACAAACAACAGCAACAAGAACTAATGAGGCTCTGAAGCAGTGGGGGTGAGAATGAGAGTGTGGGGGAAAATTTTGCACTAATAACTGTAGATATCAGACATCTAAGACAATGCTTAAACATGCTTAACAGAGTAACCTGGGGGAAATCAGATGTGTACCTGCATGAGATGTACTATTTACTACATCCATAAACATGTAACAACAGCTGAATAGTACTCCAGTTAGAACATAGTTTGTTTTGTATTTATCTTCTTTTTACCAATATATTTTTGTAATATATAATAATTATGTTCATCAAGGGGAGTTGCTACATAGATACCACATTTTCATCCTTTTTCTGTTTGAGCACATTTTCACAAGTGTGGCAATAATGAGCAAATGGGAAAGTAGAAGGAAATAGATTCTACATGACAGAACATGGTAATATCTTGGAATATTACTAAATACAAGGTAAACTATATTGTGGTGTTTAGGAGAAAATATGTTATAGAAATTCTCTTGAAAAGAATGCCACCTAGCATAATAATTTGAGAAATATGTCTCATTTTCCTATAATTTTATAATTTTTCATAGGTTTCAATATAACTTACATAAATCATGAATAAATTACTGTTTTTCAGCTACCTCACAAAACCCAAAGGTTTGGAAAAGTATGAAGTATAGTATTTTTCAGAATCTTTGGATTTTAGCAAATTATGTTGATTTATAAGATTTATTCCTTTTATAAGAAATAACACCTTTGTAACATCTTTTATCCTAGACCATTGAGTATTATTATAACTGCATATTGTTCCTTTGTTTTATCTCACCATTACAGGCAAGATAACTAAGCAGAGGAATAATTTTGAGGCCTCAAACCATAATAGAGTAGAATTTAAAAAAAATCTTATGGGTTGAAAGTTTAGAAACAAGATTCTAGATCCATGCTGTCACTAACATTTTGAATGTAGGGAAGCCACCTTTTTCTTTTTTTCAATTTTCTCACTACTTAAGGAGGCATATGATTTCCATAACTGTCATCTGTAAAACCACGTGATTCTGCCACACCACTCTGGACTTCAACAAGCCTCATTCTTTAACTATATTCAAAAGTTGCATCTAGTTAATGTTTCATGATGTGTTTCACTCTCCTGTTCAGAATTCATAGTTGAAAATGGGGAGTAAATCAGATGTGTAAGAAACATTAATGTCTATGTATCTATTTAGATATGTTTCTCTTCTCTGTTTATCTGTTTTTCAATCTCACATAGAGAAATAAAATTGATCTGTGTTAAATATATATTTAAATATATATATATATATAATGATGGTCCATATAATGTATTTTATCTGTAGTTACTGTTACATTGCTTTTATGCTATTATTCTTCTGATACATAGTGTAATTCCTTATCAGAAACTCATAGAGATATATTTTGGAATTTATATTAGAGCAACAATAAAATCCATGTACTGTGTTTTAAATAATAGTCTCAGCAGCATTTGAGCAGCCACCAAGAATCAAACAAATTAATATGTCTACATTGTAATGTATTTGTATTCACAAATAAACTGCAGTAGTCTCACATTTATGCTCATGCCAAGTTTGTCAGCTGAATTAGTTCAGATTAGGTCAGGTTCTGTCATCCAGTGAATTAGAAAACAAAGCTTTTAGCTTTAAGACCTTTCTGCATTCTAGCTGTGTGGAAAAGAGTTTGGGACCTGTATATACATGTTTAATATGACCTGAAAAAACATTATAGGGAACAGTTTTTGAGCTTGCTATTGTTCCAGCCATTTGTTTTACACTGAAGCTTAATGATGTCTACAGGCTACACTCTCCTCTGAACACAGTTGTATTGCCCACGTAGAGTGATTTAGCTCTTGCTAGCTACAATAATCATGCTTTTTCTTGGAATTTTAGAATTCTTGTGCAAAAGACATAAGTTTGCTAATCACTTTCTTTCTAGAGGCAGAGGACTGGAAGTCATCAGGAGCCATGTTTCTTGGCTTGTGGAAGTAGTTTGGTTGGAGAAAAAGAGAGTATATGAAACATATAGGGCAGAAGCAGAGGTGAGAATTGGAAAGTACACTTTTGGCATCGCAGCCTCAGGTTTTTGTTCTTAAAGTATTCCATATGCATCCTTCACCTTTCCAACAGTTTGTCCTTTCTGTGGATTCAACAAACCAATTCATTTCAATTTATTATTGTTTGAGCGAGGTCTCAGTTATTTTCATTGAGTGGAGTTCTACAGGGTAACTCAGGTATCCAGTAATGTGAAGATATCGTTATCTCTAAAATAGTGTATCTGTTTTTTAACAGGAAATGGTATAGTTACAAATTAATTCTAAAATCTCCTTTGCTTAACACAAAAGTTTGTCTCTTGTATACAGTACATCAAAATCAGCTTTCAGGGCACTGTACTTCATGTGGTCATTGCTGCACCTGTTGAACAGAGGCCAAACCTCCTCTCTCTTTACTTTCAGGAAACATGACCACCCAATTTCAGTGTAAGAAAGTGAACTGAGGGAACCAGCACTTCCAGGGAAGTCCTTGCACCATGAGTGACATCCATCACTTCTGTATGCAGCCAGTTGTCCAGAATGAGTCAGACACTCCATTTATTGCAAAGGAGGCTGGCAATGCTGAGTGATGGGCAGCAGCACTGGTCATTTAGTGCGCACCATCCAGATTGTCCCCTTAGAATCCATTAAAATCTCAACCAGAGAACCGGCATCAAGTTGAACAATTATTGTGGACAAAACTTTTTTCTTTGAAAAAATTAATGGACGGAGGTCAAAGGAAAGTCATTGCCCGAGAGCAGGGCTTTGTATGAGCCTGCATGCCAACTTTCTTTGAATAAATGCTTCAGATTGGAAGAAGATTGAAAGTCTGGGTTTTGCAGATTGTTTCTCTTCCTGACTGTGAATTCTCCTTTCAGTTTTGTTCAGCTAAAGGAGAGGTAGAGGGAATTTGAAGAGGGTAGTAGGAATAGGTTTTGAAAATATTATGTGGAGACTTTCTTTCTCCTTTACTCACTGGTTTTGCTATTCACAAAACATGTCACTTTAGAGTTTCTTAAATCAAGAGTATTTTAAACCTTTAAATGCAACAAATGGCCTAGCTAACTACATATTCTAAAAGAATAAGGAAAACAAGTGATACTAATGAATAGAAAATACCAGTCTCTCACTTAATGCTTTGTTTTAAGTAGCTATAGGAAAATGCTGTCCTGTTATGATATATTAGCCTATAGCAAAGCATTAAAAATTGTATTGGATTCTTTTCTTTCCAAAGAAAACTATGCAAGTATTAAATGAATAAATACAACATCATTTTGGTGACATAATTTCAAAACAGAAAGATTAGAAATATTCAGATATTGAGCATTCCACAGAAGCTATAATTTCAGCAGAAATTCTTATTTAGCCTTTATTCATTTAATTCTATCAATTTAAAATTTTATTAACATCAGTGAGACATGAAAAATTACAGCAGTAATGCTTTTACAAAACCTAAGTTTTGAAAAATTTTGATCTTTTCACTGTTTTATTTCTAAGAGTATGTGTATAAATTCTTTCTCCAGGCTGAATCATTCAGTATTTATTTCACTGGACACTGAAGAGTTAAGTTATAAAAGAAATCAATATTTAATTTCACTGTTTATAAGAAGAATTCTAATTATCTGATTTAACTGGCTAAAATTTTGGGTAGGAAGACTAAGATGAGCTACCTGACCTTGTGAACTCACTGCCAAAGTAACAGAATTGTCAAGACTAAATAATGTGTTACTATTACACAAATGAAAGTTCAGAGTAGTTAGAAGTAACAAGGAAAATTGCACATACAACATCAAACACACACACACAAACAAAAACTGTACATACATACAACCATACACTCATAAAGTGGTGCTTGTGTTTGAGTGTGAACTAGTGAGTTTTTAAAATGAGAAGCCAGTATGATTCGTTCAGTAAAAATAATGTGTGATGCATTAGGGGTAGATAGCAGCAGAAAGTGGAGAGTGGTAGACAATGTTGAGGGGTAGATAGGGGTAGAAAATGGAAAAGAAAAACAAGCATAGACTATATATTTGACTGTATGTATGCATATGGTCAGAAATACTTCACAATTTTGCAAACGTGCAAATTTGTAGACACCTGGAAGCAAGATGAAGACATCATTTATTCAGTTTATGAAACTAGGAAGCGAAGGTTACTGTTGAGGTTAATAAATACAGAAGCTTCATATTATCAGAAGTCACAGAATTGCCTGGCTTCAGAAAAGTGAGAGAAAAAGACTCTTACTAATAGGATTATTACTATCATTTTTGGATAAAAATCCTCAGGAGTGGCAATGCTGTGAAAGATTAAATAATTAGAGCAACAGGATCTGCTTTATGAGACTGAGGACTGGGGATTAAAACCTATTCCTCTTGACCCTCCTCACAGAAGTCCATTGATAACCCTTTTAAAGCAAATTTCTTCTGTCTACATTTATGCAGTGTTTTGTGTATGTCAAGAGCTTGGCAAACCAGATTAATTAGTGTAATATTATCTGATGAAACAAATTTTGGATCACAGGCACTGATATTATTTTATTCCTACCACGAATAAAATGTAAAGATCAAAAATTTTTAATGTAAGATATTTTGTAGCACTATGAGCCTTTCACTCCCCCTTACCACAAAAATGTTACAGCAGAAAATTACTTAGAGCTTATTATTTCCTCATTGTATTCCCACATTGGATTCTTTACAGCTGCCAAGAGCACAGTGTAATATCTATGATGCTCAGATTTAGTAAAAATAAGGAACACATTTGTAGTAATTTTACATATATATTAAAATTTCTTTATGTAAATATATTACTTATTTTAATATAGAAATTTTATATTACTTGTAAGAAATATTAATATATAACTGAAGGGAGCAGACTAAACACAGAAGTCCAGAGTTCCTGAGGAGGTTGCTTTGTGAAATCCTGTGGACGCACACATCATTATATATGAGAAAAACCTCAGTTGTCAGTAATTTGGATATCTGTTCTTAAACATATACCACCTAAAGCTGTCTGTCTTTATGGACAGTATTTTCTTGGGAAAAATACAAAAGTTGGCAAATGCCACTGTAGCTTTTGACGTTTATATACGGAGACAGCCCTCTTGAATTCAGGAAACACACTGTCAGAGTTCAGTGTTCAGAAAATGATGACACTATATGCAGCCAGATAATAGACACTTAACAGTGATGATGAGTATTACAATTGACCAGTGTATAGAGTCTTCTATATGACTTTTTAAAAAAAAATTAATGTTTGAGAGTGTTAGGTTTCAATTTAGTTACTTAAGCAAAAATCATTGTACTAAGGATTTCAGGATTTTTAAAAAAGGGTTAAATTACAGTAGAGATATCCTACTTCTTCCATATAAAGGGAATAATCCAAGAGGAAGAGATGACAATCATAAATATCTATGCACCAAACACTAGTGAGCCCCACTATATAAAACAAATATTAGCGGACATGAAAAGTCATATATGAACTAATACAATTGTAGTGGGGGACCTCAACACCCCACGGTCACAAATAGATAGATCAACTAGACAAAAAATGAGTAATGAAATACTAGAACTAAATCAAACTCTTGAACAAATGAACCTAATGGATGTTTACAGAGTCTTCCACCCCACAAAATCAGGATACACATTCCTCTCAGCTGCACATGGGTCATTCTCCAAAATAGACCACATACTCACACATAGAACATGTTTAAGTAAGTGCAAAGGAATT